TCTGTGGATAGATACTCAAAGAATGATTTATAGCATCAAATTTTTCTAAAAATTTGCAATTATATTTTTTTTAAATAAAATGATTTTTACGTAGTGATAAATGATTGAAAACTTATGTTCATTTTGACGGCTATATAACAAAATAAAAATTGTTAGTAACAATTTTAGCATATAAATTTAGATAAATAGAATATAATCAAAAGATTTATATGCTTCTAGTAGAGCAAACTTTTTAAGCCTTTTAAATGAAAGTAAATTTGTGAATCGTTAAAGACTTATATATTTATGTAAGGATATATTCTCGTTACTTCTTTGGGATTGGAATTAAAATATTCCCGGTATAATGGCTAATAATATGCCTGTTGTTCAAAATGACTTAAATATATTCGATACCATCTTATACTGATATGACTTATAGCAAGTGGGTTTTAATCAGAGATAAAATCTGGTACCACAGGATCCAGTTACCCATAACTTTAGTTATCCTGGACACTGGGTTGGTCCCGTAAAGAGACATAGTGGTGGCTATGATTACTACCTTAAGTTAGAAAGAGTGTTAGCACTTATGCTTCCATTTGATGTGAACTTGCAGGAGAGATTTGGATAGTAACTTATATCAAAACATATAACTTCAATTAATATCAGCAGAATTTATTTTAATGGGACGTTAATTGGCATAAAATATTGATAGGTGTGTTTAAACAATGCGGTGTCATGCACATGCAACAGCTAAACACATAAAATAACACAGAGAATAATGGTGTCAGTCTTTTTCTTGTTTAGAAGGATTTTTGATTATCCATTCTAGCTTAACTGAACAGTGCGCAAAGCCTTATCAGCTTTAGCATATTAGTTTCTAAAGCGGGTTAGAAGTTTTAAAAAAAAAGATTTATTGGGGTAATATTTTATTATTTACTTGAATTATGATAGGTATAGATACTCGCGTTTTTTAACCCTTTGAAAAGAAAAGCAGAGACATGGTTTTAAAATTACCAGTGTATGTTAGCATAGATAAACTATTGATGAACGTTTTTTCACTCCATACGATTGGAAATGAGAACTTTTTAGTAAAGCGAAAAACATTATTTATTCTATATATCCTATCGCATTTTATTGCCAGGGCCCAGTTTATATTATATATGGTATATGTACACTAGCACATCAAAACTGCTTCAAAGCAGTAGTCGTTTTGATCAAATATATACCGAGGTAAATCGTGAAATATATTTAATTATATAATATATAGATCTCTTATAAAAATTTATATATATATATCCATAATATTAGCTATATCTATATATAAATAAATTATTTATACTTCATGTTGATTATGGATTATCTAATGACATTTAAATATGAGTAAATAAATATTAAAAACTGATTGCTATATATGTTTCTCATGAAATTGTATATATATATTAAAGTCTTTAGTTTTTGAAACAGTTATAACTAAAATTCAATCGATCGGACTAACATGAACCAATAACAATAAGTCTGGCCTTATTATAGAGATAATAAACCTATTTATCTAAAAACTATTAATATCATTATAAATGTAATCAGTGATTAATACTTCTACATGCTTTAAATATTAAACTTGATTTAGCTGACTTTGAAGGAAATTGATACAGGAAATATACATCAACTTGTAATGCAAAGTCCCTGTTTTGATTTAAGTATTTAATCCAATTTATTCTATATGAATTTCTAACTGATTTACATATATAATACTTTAAGCTTCGTTTAGCTTAATATTAGTAAGCAATATGTAATTAAAAATAAATTATTTATTTAACAACATTAACTCAATTAAGCTTAATAATAGTAAGCAATAGGTATTATATATAATGCATTTAACTAATTAAAAACAGTTAAAATATCATGTTTAATTAGATATTAATAAAAAGACAAAATGGAAAATATTATATCTTCTAATAAAGTATTAATATTTATTACAGCTTTATTAAAAAATATAATATAAAAAACTTTAAAAATATATTCTAAATTAGTTTTTGATATAGCAACTATGTGACTTTTCAAAATTTTATTATTTAAATTAATTTAAATAAATACTTTTATATATTTTATAGAATCAAAAATGATTAAAATCGTAAAATTACAAAGTGAGATTAAAGTCTCAAAAATTATTATAATTATTAATTGTTAAATTGACAATGTGTATTAACAAAAAAATATTAACAAAAAAAAATTAATTAATTACTACGAGGGTCGCATATAATATTTCCATAGGTCAATATCAAATTTGATAATAAAAATGAAAAGACCGAGTTTTTAAGCCATTTCCTTCAAACAGTATCAATTTCGATTAATAAAAAGTTAATTTAAGCGTAAAATCGTATTAATTATAATATTGTAAAATATGAAAATTAAAAAAAAAAATTTTAAATTCTTTGTTTGTTACAAATAAGCTGCTTTATTAAACAATTTATTGTTTTTTTCATTTTATGTTACAAAAAAATACGTCAAAATACCTGTAGACCACACTTGTGATACAGCCTTCAATGGCATTAGGTGTTCAAATCACATCAGTCAAATTTTTGAAATTATTTAAAAATCGATTCAATAAAAACAAAATAATTATGTGAACTTAATATGACAAGCATGAGATATGTGTCCAATCTGAAGTATTCAATTTAAATAGAAAAAAAATATTTGAGAAAATTTCTTTAACATCTTTTGTGAATTTAAAGTTCAAATTCAACCATCTTAAAAATTTTACAAGAAAATAAATTTTAATTTTAAGAACTTAAACACATTTTTATGAGGTCATAATATTACAAGAAATAAAAATGTAATTTTTAATTTAATTTTGTTTTTTTCAACTAATAAAGCATATGGGAAAAGACGAGTTGAGCTGCTCCGGGACCATTCGCACAAGTGAAATGGGCCTGGCGTATAAAATAAATGTGTCCATAAATAAACTTTATATTCACACATAAATGAGTAATTTTCGCCACGCAATGCATTGAATAGAAATGAAAAAAAAATCATTTTTCGAAAATTAGAAAAAATTCTTAGAAGCGTGAATAATTTTTTTTTTGTTTTCTAATTTTTAATTATTCAAATTGCATTTATTTTATTTTATTATTTTTGTAATGATGATGCAGAAGTATTAAATATAGTTCGTGCGATTAAACCAATCATTTCCCAGTTGAAAATATTATTTTTGATGACTCCAATACGTTCTTGAATAGTAAGATATAACAAAATATACCTAAATTGATCATACTAAATATCTCACGTAGTTAATGAGAGTCCAATGAATTTCGCTATTTCTTTAGATTTGGAAACAGAAAATAATCGCAGGGGGCTAAATCTGGAGAATATGCTGGATAGGGTAGCAGTTCGTATCCCAATTCGTGGATTTGGGATCGTAATGCTCAATCAGCACACGAAATTCACTTTTTTCTATTTTCGTAAAAATTCACAAGGTTGTCTGCTTTGAACGTCTATCAAACACCAACTGAACGACGTAGCTTGCTCAAAATTAGAAAGTTGCCCACTGGTAGATTACAGCTGACGGCAGCACTGTTGCATTTGGAGTAACTGCGCGGGAAATTCAAAAAGTCACTGACTTATCAAATCGCCCTAGTATATATATCAATTTTTAGGTAGTTCAATAGTTTCAAACTTCCAATAAATGAAATGCTTGAAACAAAAGCAGTCAGTTTTTTATTTATTTCTTACTTTCAATAAGATTTTCATCCCATTAACAGGATTTGTGCAGTATTTGTGTCCATAAAAAAATTCTTATTTTAATGGTCATTTGCAGTCTCATAATATACATATTTAATAGATCCTATTTATTTTATTTGATTATTTTAAATATTTTTTTAATTTTAATTATAGGACTACTACATATCAAATATGTATAACTTACAACAAATTAGCTTAATTTAATTAATTTAATTTTACGATATATCACTAACTCGTTGAGTTAATTAATTAATAATGAATTCAATGCTATTTATTTTATCATATAATTTATAACATTTAAGCAAACAACCACTAATATTTTTTTTTCTTATAAAACTCGCATGTGTCAATACACTGGATATATGTTAAAATATCAAGTATTTTAAATGATTAAATTAATTCTTAAAAACGATATTACCTAAAGTAATAAAAATTTTATCTTGGCTACCGTAGCTTTCGATTTCCTTATAATCTATTAATTCTTAAGTAGCACGAGCCAAGCCCATAATTTTGTAATTTAAATATTGATAAATTCACGTTAAAGGATTGCTAATAAATTAAAAATTCGGACATTAAATACGTAAATTAAATGTTGACCAAACTATAAATTAAACACAGAAATGAAATGGATTTGATTCCAAGAAAATTTATTATAAAATATATCACATTTATATATTTATCGTACGACCTTGTCAAGTGGTAGACAAAGGTACGAAAAAGATCAAAAGACCACAAAATATTAAATTCGTTTTCAATAGAAAAAAGCCAGAAAACTAAGGAGTTTCTTAGCCAGAATTATGCAAAACTTTCAACAAGATCGTTTACTTTGATTTCTAAGATGAGATGTATATATATTTTTTTTTCATTTGAAGAAACTGTCAACGTGTGTGGTGCCTATAACTCACTCGAAAATAAATGAAATAATACATTGTGGGAATTGTGCATATAAATCAAGATAAAACCGAAATAAAGCTTAAATAAATTTATGATTATTTCATCATTTCACATCTTAAATGAATTTCTAACTGAATCATACATCCATATTATGCGAAGTTAAATCTTATGGCAAGTAATTTAACTTGAAATGCAGACTGAAAGTTCAAGATAAATTTGAACTTTATATGAAATCAATTATTTCTCATCCATTTTGTATCAGAAAGTACTGCTATTATTTTATAATATTCAAAAGTAAATTAGTTTCATGCAGTATAATTTCATTAAAATTTATTTATAAATTGAAGTAAATAAAATAATTAAATCAATTTTATATTTTTTCTTTACAGAACTAATCACCTGTGTACCACCTGTGTTCAATTTAATTAGAACAAAACTTCATTAAATAATAAAATTAACAAAAATGACGAGATTACTTCAAACACTACTTTTCTCAACACTATTTTGCATCACAGTTCTCAGTGCACTAACAGAATCCAGTGATATCACAACCACACAAAAACCACAACAACATCATCGTCGACAACATCATCGAATACATCATAAAGAACATCGAAGACGTGAACATATTAGTGAACGTTTAACTAAAACACAAGAACTAAATGAACAAATCGATCTTATAGATCCGAAAGAAGCACAGCCACGAGTTTTGAATAGTACAAGAATAAGACCTCTTACTGCAAGGGATTATTATAATCGAGTTGTGCAGAGAAGACAGAATGTGCATAGAAACATTCCTACCGAATGGGGTTACAATACATACAATGTGCTCACTAATACGTTTGATACGTCACCAGTAGGAAAAAGTGCTGGTAAAGGTGATGATAATATGCACGATGTAGAATTTATAAGCAATAATGCGGGCACCAGCCCTGAATGGGCAGCACCAAATCCAAGACGGGGTTATGATTACTTGCCACCAATGACGCCAACCACTAGTACAACAACTACTATGCCAATTACACGCAGAACATTACTAACAACTTCTGCACCGCCACCACTTGTACCAGTGCGTAGAGGTTATCCACCTATTTTACCTTCTAAAAGTTATAATGACTTGCCACATGTAACCGAAGATCCTATTGAAACAAATATTATAAGCAGAAATCCAAACGATTCGAAAGATATGGAAAAGTAAGTAAAGCCTATAGTAAAATGATTATAATACTTTATGTATTTAAAACTTTGTGTATTTATTATATAAAATATTAAAATATTAATATTCATATTCAAATATATAAAAAAATTTAACTTATTTTAAGTTTTAACTGTAAATAATTCTTAATTATGCTTATTTCACATAATAGTTGCACGTATGTACTTAAACAAAGAAAAAGTGATTTAATACAGCATATGTCACAATAACTTTGAAATCAAACAAAATTACGAGTACTACGAAATGCAAATATGAATTTCGTTTTATTGAGTATTTTTATATGTATCTATGTATTATAAGTTAACATTTTTTTTTTAATTTGACACTTTGACGACCGAACAAATGGTTAAAACTCATGAATTTCAATAATAAATTAACTATGATAGACAAGCGAGCCAGCTTGTTGTGTCAATAGACCAACCAACCCATTTTGCAAATTATGACACTTCCATGATGAATGCCTGCAATATGCAGCTTGCTCTGGTAATGATGTAGTTAAAAAATGTACAACTGAACTAATATACCATGGATAGAGGATTTACTCAATTTTCATGGCTATTTATATTTACGATATGTCAATTAAAATTAAACATTAACGCCTTTGTGGTTTTTAATTTGAATTTCGGTAGTAATTCTATTAGAAGTGCTTCTTCTAACAAGCGCTTTTGTCATAGGACACCATTTTGAAATGATTGGCGATAATAATAAAAACCCTTTCACACAAATACTTTTTATTCTTATATTCACTATTAAGAATAAAAAGTATTATTTATTAGTAAGTATTACCAGTGACAGTCTGTCCTGCAAAAGAAACGACATTAAGAGAGTGGGTTATTAGCCGTTAAAATGTGGATCTTACCGGGCAACGCGACAGATTATTATACAGTGTTTTATTAGTACGTTAATTATAATTAGTGGTAAGAAACCATACCGTAATACTGTAATTTCATAATTCCTTCACTGGGTTGTCTGAATTCATATCCACATCTGTTGGTATAAAAATTACATTAACACGATTCTTAATGTTCTAAACAACAATTCCAATCAAGATCGTCTAATTAAATACATTTTATTAAATAATAATGTTTTTTGAATGCATAATTTGCTATATGCTAGCACTTTATAAAATTATTTATATTACATTTGAATTTGTTTAACAAAATTTTCAATCAATAATGAACTTAAAATTATTAATAAAAATCAAAATTATCATATTATGTAGAAATATATTTAACATTTGTTATAATACAAGACAATTTCTGAACTACGTATGTTAATGGTTTTTATAATTTACTATTCTTCTAATTACTAGTCCATGCCTTGTCATCCTGTTAGTACTTGCAACAATTTTCCATCAAAATTTGCTATTAGTCCATACCTTTCACGAATGTTACCGTTGTATTTCGGACAAAATTGTCTACTGATTGGGTTCAGTAATATCATATAAAAAACGATATTTAATTGTGTATAACATATAGTATACCATATATAACATATAAATTACATATGATAGTTCAAATATCATGAATAGGAATAAAATGAAGTTAAATTAAATAAATGTTATTTTTTTTTGTACTATATTATATATACTATATAACTATATTCGAGTGGTGCAACGTCATTTTAGATTCTATTCCACTAAAGCCTTAGTAAAATTTTTAGTTTGGTCAATGGCATATTTGTAGGAAGTGCTGCTTAACTTGGTTATATGAGGGTACAAGGTTCTAAGCTTAGGTATATATAAAATCACTCTAATAGGAACTCTGCTACCTGACGCAGTTGAGTGTTATCTTAAAGTTTTTATTTAAGAAGTTATACCACGAATTTTACTTATATAAATTTTAATACCGAATGTGAGCAGACCTGGGAATATATAATTAAGTAAAAAATGTGAGTACATCTGGAAAAAACCATAAATATATACAAAGTTCTTAATATTCCAATGATTAATAATAAAGTGTTGAATAAAAGATTGTTTGTAAAGTTTTAGAAGCATTTAATTTTGCCTACCTAAAATATTCAGTTCTTTAAGAATTTTCTTTATAGAAAATAACCTGCCTACCTTTTAAAAACGATTTTTCAATACTTTGTCATGATATCTATGAACAGATATATAATTAAAAATAAAAAGATTTTGATTGTTGATATACTAAAATTGATCACTAAAAAATATATTTCTCGGATTTTAAGTCTACCAAAAATCAGAAACCTTGACCATATATTATCATAGTTCCTACAAACAGATATAGAAATAAAAACAAGAAGATTTTGATTGTTGAAATATTACAATTATTCACTAAAAAATATCTTTTTCGACTTTAAACTATTCCAACCTCCTTTGAAAAAAATCTACGTATATTATTATATCAAACTCTTTACGACCTCTTCTAATAAAGGTAGTGCTTCGCATTGCTAATAAATTAAGTATTAAAAATGTGATCTTTTTTACAGTTCGGTTACAAGGATTTTTGGTAGAGAGGTTTTGAACAGTAATGAATTGTAACAAAATTTTTATTTATTTTTAATTGATTGAATTTTTTTACTCGAACAGTAGTAATCCTTCCTATTACATGCAATAATTTTTATTTAGTATTTTTTAGCATTTACTACGATCTGAATAGAAAGTTGCATATGTACTGTATTATGTTAAGTGACTTATCTATATTAAGTGACTTCAAATATAAACTTTATTTCTAAGACGTCTTCTGTGGTTTTTCTTCTCACCCTTGTAAACGTGTTGGAAGATGACATTAGGTGTATTACCAGTGGGTTTGGGTGCATATATTTACAATGAGCATAGTTCTTTGTAATTCAATATATTTCTTCCTTGATTGTCGGAATACGTAGTTGTTTATGCAACTGTTCTTTTGTTATATACCAACGTCCATATGTGATCAGGCGTAGTATTTTAGATTGTAACCGTTGGATAATTGCCAGGTTTGAGTTTTCTGTGGTACTTTATAATTGAGCTCCGTAACTCCATATATGTTTTAGTACAGTTTTGTATATTAGTAGCTTATTATCTAATGACAGTTTGGAATTTCGACTGAGAATCCAAAATAAGTTTCGCAGCTTGAGACCCATAGCGTTGCGCTTTTTGAATATGTGTGTTCTCCGGGTTAGATTACTGCTTAGATGTATTCCCAAATATTATGTTTTTGCAGCCTATGGTAATTAGGCAGAAGTACACAAGTAAATGATCGACCTTAAAGGCTCGCTCTATTTTCCAATATTGCATTTATAAGCTAGACATGCAATTGATATATTTATATTGATTTAGATTAAATTGAATTAGTGTATAGTACATAAGCGTAGTAAAGTTAAGTGCATACACAACTGCATATAAACATATTTTTCTTTCAAAAGTTTTATTTGCAGTAACTCCATAAGTCGAAAAAGTTTTTTTTCTAAAAGATACACTTATCCAACATAAAAAATACTTTTATCCAATTATCCAACAAAAAGCATTGAAAAAAAATGTATGTGGCTAAGACCACAATTAACTTGGCGAATGTTGCAGCAATCGCGTAAATGCATTGAAGTTGGTTGCAAGTGGCTACTGATAAAGCCAGAATTGAAGTGTTAATCACACACAGTTTGCAAGTGGCAAAGTGGCAAAGTGATTAGATTGCGCTAAGGCAAGTCACTGATAAACTGACTGCAGTTGTTGCAACAACAGTGATTGATGTTGTTGGAAATATTTGTGGCAGAGATAAAACCGATAAATTAATTACATTTTAGTACGAACTGATTAGTTGTGTTGGAAAATACCAAACAAAATGTAATTTCTATGCAACAAATGTTAAATAAAAAGGAAAAAAATTATTAGCAATA